TGCTCGACATTTAAGTGATTACTGCATTGACCTTTCCTACTCTAGAACTCATGTTCATGCCAATAGTTCCGGTTTTCCACAATTATAAAGCTGCTGGTCTAAATCAAATGCGCCGTAAGGCGTTTGCTACGATGGACACTGTTGAGGTGAGGTCGGGTACTGCAGAGCCCCCGGCCCCGTGCCCTGGTACGGTTCCATGGTGTGGCACCAGTCCCACCAGTCCCGGCTGTGCTCGGTGTGCGGCGCGCCGACAGGGAAACCGCCAGCCGCCGCGATGTCCCGGTACAGCTTAGCGGAAACCTTCGGGGTTCGGGTGAAGTCCGGGTCCGAGAAGTTAGTGTAGTGCAGCCCCAAACGGACGGAGTGTCCGGAATTCCACTCGATGTTGTCCATCAGTGTCCACGCGAAGAACCCGCGGACGTCACGACCGTCCTGCTTGATAGCTGCAAAGAGATATGAGAATAAAATTTATAGATCGCTGAGACTCTGTGGGAAAAACATTGGAGGGAGAACAGATGTATACATTACACATTCACGAGGCAGACCAGCACGTAGAAAATAAGTGTGGGTGAGTGAATCTGTGTGTAAAGAACAATATACAATGAGAGAACCTTTTGTTGGATTACTCCTGCCTAAAACTTAACAACGTATTCTGAAATACAGATGAGTTTTCAGTCCAATATGTCTAGGTTAGAAGGCAGGCTATTCACCTCTGATGGCTTCGTCCACATACAGCATGTAGTAGCACTGTCGCCAGGTGTCGTTCATGTTCGGTGGAAACTGGTCCTCCTCAGAGATGCCTGTCTCCGTGATGTAGAACGGGACTTTGTGGGAATACTTCTCGGAGAAGTACCGCAGCTGCTCGCGGATGATCCACGGGACCACGTAGGACGTTGCGAACCCAGACGATGCGCCTAGTCCACAGCAACAGAAGAATGGATATAGAAATAAATACATAATTGTTCCCGTGTATTGGCTATTGCTGAGGTCACAATCCCCAACCGGGGCCCCGGCCGGGCAGTTTGCAGGAACGGAAAGTACGATAAGAAAAGACAACAAAACGCAAAAAAAGTTGAAAAAAACAACAACAACTGATTTGTTTGTATTCTTGATATTAATTGCTTATTTTCCGGGCCCCAGTTTGGAAATGTGACAACAAACTTATCAAGAAGAGTAAGTGAACCCTGTTTGCTTGCCTAAACTAGAGACATTGCAGGCTCATACCTTTCTATCCTGCCATTCGCCGCTGTTTCTAAATCTATTGATGGAAATGAGGGACGTCGCAGAAAAAAAATCAAGTACATATTCCAGTGCATTATAATGAATTGTTGCTTACCGTGCGGCCATGTGGGGTCTGACGTGTCCTTGGCCCCTTTCAGGTCCGGCATGACGGCCTGGATGAAGTCCAGCGGGAAGGTGTGGTTGGACGCGTAGATCAGCATGCCGTAGTACTGGTTCAGACCCACGAAGTCAGCCGCGCCGCGCACGTACGCTTTCTCCGCCTCCGTGAACTCCGGGAGACGGGGCTGCGGGACAACAGACAAAAGAAACGGGTTCAGGACGGACGACACATTCTCCACCTACTTGACTGGTTTTAAGAAGTGTCCAAGGGGTTCTCAAAACATGTCCAAACTCCCATGACTATGCACCGAAAATGCAGTTGGAGACCGCTATTTGCCCTGTCTTACAGACTCGGTAGTCCCTTTGCGTATATTCGGAAGAATGGAATGATGTTAATGAATGTGAAAAATCTAACTTTGCACGGGCTAGGCACCACTGCACGCTTCAACAGAGACAGAGACTGGGGGTGTTAGTAGTTGTTACCTCCGCGGCGCTGTCTCCATTGATCATCTGCTTCATGGCGTCAGGGTAGTCGCCGTTGCCGTAGATTGGGTTGGCGAACCAACCCAGGAAGAACTGCTCGAAGTTGTCGGCCGCCTGGACGTCCCGCGGGTCGGACGTGTTCCGGGGCTGGCCCCACAGGGCCCCGAGAACGATCCCGACCTCCCCGCCCTGCTGGGCTCGGAAGGCGTCGTTGTAGGTGTGCCAAGCACGGGCATGGGCCTACATGGGGCAGATGCGAGCAATGAGGACAGTATAGCAGCGTCGCAATGTACCAGGATAAATGTACGTACTTAGGTATTGCATACAACGAAGCTATGAGGGTACCACGCATAGTTGCATTTTTAAATTTTAAACAATTAAATGTTATACAGATCGCCGAGGAAACACACTAATATAACTTTGATGCATAAAATAACTTTGATGACAAACTGTTAGTTTGAGAAAAGGGTTGGAACATGCATGGATCCCCGGAGCTAACGATAAAGGACCATCCGTACAAAGCTTAGTCTTTCAGAAGAGATAATGCTGTAACTTCTGATCCAACAGGTGGGTCTCTAACATTTGCCACGATGAGAAAGCCGCCCACCTTGATGACAACATGCGCTACTTCGTACTGACGTCTTTTCATGCCGAAGAGCATCTGAGGTGGGGCCGCGCCTAACCCGTACCCCGGCACGATGAAGGACCACGGCTCGTTAAATGTGGCCCACCTCTTGACTCTGTCGCCGAACTTCTGGAAGCACAGCGTGGCGTAGTCGTTAAAATAGTCCACCATGCTCTCATTGGTCCAACCACCGTACTTCGTCTGGAACACATGTGATGACACAAAAAATCAAAAACAATAAAAGCCTGTCCGAATAATTATATCTCGTGGAACTGTTCGTCCTAGACCGCTCCTGAATTATTGCTACAACACGATGCAAAAAAAAAGCGAAGAGGTGAAATCATCAAAGCACGTCTAAAAAGTGATAGTTTGTGGGGGTATAAACACGGAGGCATAGATGTAGTTACCTGAAGAGCCTGTGGTAGGTCCCAATGATACATCGTGACAAACGGCTCCATCTTGTGAGCTATCAGATTATCGATGAGCTTGTTGTAGTAGTTCACACCTGCCTGGTTGACGCCCCCCGCCAAGGTACCGTCAGGTAAAAGGCGGGGCCAGGATATGGAGAACCGGTAGGCCGTCATGGCCATGTCGGCTCCAAGCTGGACATCGGTGGCATACTGGTGGGTAAGACAATGTTACTTTTAGTGTATGGTCGTTAGGCTCCTTGATTTGCGTTTGGGCAAATGTAAAAATCCAACGTTAGATGACACCATATAATGGCAGCGCGCGTCGTAGACTATTTAGATTAGGTCGCTAGTTACTGATTTTTGACTATTTAGAAACAGGAGCCGAACAGTCATTTAGCTACCCATTTCTTATATGCTACCTTGTAGTAGCTGTCGGTAGCGTTGTCTCCCAGCGGAGTCCTGCCCGGCTGGTGTGCCCAGTGGTCCCAGATCGACTCGCCCTTGCCGTCCGCGTCCCACCCGCCCTCCACCTGGTAGGCCGCCGTGGACGTGCCCCACAGGAAGCCTGGCGGGACGGTCCCGGATAGGAACGGCTCTTTTGGGTAGGAAGAGCTGTGGCCTAGAGTCATGTGTCCGAGAGGTGTATAGGTAACATTAAGAACAAACAAACAAACAAACAAACAAACAAACAAACAAACAACTAACTAGACCACGTCTCTCAATGCGAAAAGATGGGGAAGGACGTCGACCAGAAATATAGACGCCATTTTGACAACGCAACTTACTTTATCTTAGCTATAGCATGGAAGTTCATCTGTGTTGTCAAACGACATGATAATAATAATTTCATAATTTTGATTGACTTGCAAGTTCCTCCCCGAGAGCTAATTGCAACATGAAACAATGTACTGAAAGAGTATACACAGGCAGTACAAGCTAACAATGAAGACAAGTGTTGAGGAACTCACGGGGTGGTTTTTGGCTGTCTTGAACATACGGAGAATGTTCTCTGATATCGAGGGAGACATCTTCAGGCTTCGGACATAGAATATAAACATCAGTCTCAAAGACTTTTATATTTTATCGTTGAAGAGATTCATTTGTCACGTATAGATACAGTTCCTAGTGAATTCTTTCATCATTTATATTTTACTCTTTTACTTAGCTAGCTTGAACATCCACCACTTGTACATAACGGCACAGGATCTCGTCCTTTTTTTACCACTATTACTGTACATGTCACGTGCACCGATTAAGTCCTTTATTGTACATATATACATACATACATACATAGGTCACAACAAAGTCGGAATATATAGCTTGTATATACACGTATACACATGACCTAGCTCTAGCACTAGCACTGACGCCTTGTTTTAAGTAGATTCCTCTCACCTCTTTGTGATGGTAAAAATGTAGGAACAAACATGAGTTTAGTATCAGGGGTTTGTCTAAGCTCATTAGAAATGTGAATTTGTCTGCAACATTTATTACTTAGATGTAAAGTTATGTGAAACCAAACGTAATGCTGCGAGCGCCCACCTCCGATGCGGTATGGCAAAACTAGTGTCAAAAGTCACGGATCTACACACTTTGCCAAATTGTACACGTAACTTAATGATCTATGTGAGGGCATGTGAACTTAATCAATGATCCGTAAACGGTTGTTGTTTTCTTACCAAGGTCCTGGAGTGCACCACAGCTGCAATCAGCAAGGACCCCACGAGCAGCAGACCTCTACGGTCGGGCATGTCGAGTTGTCCAGCACCAGGACCGAAGCGTCTAGAGCAACTAGTGAAGTACCTCACCGTTAAAACTTTTCTGCTGTTCTATTGAGCTGTAACAGTTGCCCTGCAGCTGTGTAAAGAGGCTTCAAAAGTTCATATTGACGCTGTTCCGTTAATCCTGGCACAACACAACGGACAGCGGTCTGCAACGACGAGGTAATGACACAGCACACAGGTGAGGACAGGTGAACTTTGAACCATATAGGTGGCAAGTAAATGTCGACGTCAGGTCAACTAAGGACAACGTCTGTCCTACCGTGCCCCTGCCCCGTGCGTCTATGTGTTTGTTTGTCCTATCTCTCCCATCTAAAACATAAGGGACACAAAGTGTGCTTATTTAGATAATCAGGACAAAGTTTGGGTCAAAGGTCAAAGTTGCAAAGATGGCGGCAATTTTGATGAATTAGCACAGGAGAACAGAGAACAGTGACTATCAAGAGAACGCCGATTTCCAGAGTTTATTGACTGCTTCAGAGGTGGCAGAACTTTGTAAGGTACCACAGAATGTGATAGTTCCATATCATGAACTAACACTGATGAAACTTCAACTTATAATTTGAACATAGCAAATCCTAGCCGTGGACGACTCTGGTACACCTTTTTGCATGATAATGCCGGTGACACCGGCATTATCATGCAAAAAGGTGTACCAGAGTCGTCCACGGCTAAGCAAATCCCAGGTCTTACCATGTGTCTTTTACCCCATGCCATGGTCTTACTAACTCTAGGGTGTCTAAACGACAATCACACGATATGATAGTTCCCAATGATGGTAACGTTACTGTGTAAAATTTACCACAAAATGGTGTCTAGAAAAATTGTTTGCTTCTGAACTCAGTCTGATATTATGTTGTACCAAATTATGCGAAATTTTGGGGGGCAAGTCATGTCAAACCTATACTGCATACTATTTTACCTGATGTCTTTATTGTAAAAAAATTATGTTTCTCAAATGTTCCTCATAAAGGATGCCTCGCAAGAAGACAGTACCTGAAGACAGTAGCGGCCACTTGGAAACACCTGGCACCGATACTCCACAGCCTCCAAGGAAGACCAGAGGAAAGTCACCCAAACCTCCCACAGTGTTGGACATAAAAAAAGAACCTTCTAAACCATCTAAAAGATCAGCAGACAAGGGACAGAAGGAAGAGAAAGATGTTGGAACATCAACAGCTAAGAGGAAAGCTGGCATCACTGTTGACACCACGCCGCCCAAGAAAGCAAGAAACACAACGAAAAACAAGGAAGCTGAGAGTAAACCACAGGCTGAGGCAGTTGTGTCAAATGAAAAGAAGAAGGAAAGAAAGACGAAGACTACTAAGATAAAGGTGGAAGCCAAGGATCAGGAGGAGAAGGCTAAGACTGAGAAAGTGATAGGGAAGGGAAGAAAAAATGGAAGCAAGACCAAACAGGTAAGCATAGGAATTCAGACTGTAGCATGACTTTTCTTCTTCTTCTTCTTCTTGCGTACTCTCTAACCACCCCTACTGGGGTATCACTGAGAGGGGGGGGGGTGCGACGGACTATGGCTGCGCGGCCAGAAGCCCGGCCTTGAAGGCCTCCACTGTCTGGGCTTTTACAAGCTGGCCCGGTAACTTGTTCCACTCATTTATCGTTCTTAGGAAAAAAAGAAAATCTAAAACAGTCTGTTTTGGCAGGTATTGCTTGATACTTATATTCATGACTTCCTCTGGTACGCCTATGGGCAGGTTTGAGGTATTGTTCCATTTGGATATTAATATGTCCATGAGTAATTTTATACAAAGATATCAAGCGAGCGGTTCTCCTTCTGTCAACAAGTAACGGCCACTGGAGGCGCTTTAGCATGTCAGAAACACTGCTGGTATAGTCATAATCACTAACAGACTGTTCAGTGGTAAAATATAGCTGACATGAAGACTTGTAACTTCTGAAGCATTGGAAGATGGTGATGTGTAGAAACTAAGATTGATATTGTATATTACTGTGCATTACAGTACTCAAGAAATAGTCAAGGTTAAGTAACTTAAGATTTGAGTCGCTAGACATACATGTAAGCAAGTGACTATCAACTTTTTTTAAAGGTGCAGTTGTTTACTAGTACAGTGTCTGATGATCTCTGATCCATGTCTGTCTTTAGGAAGTGAAGGAAGAGCCCACAGCCAGCAGCAGCACCGAAGAAAAGACCAAACCCAAGAGGAGGGCGGCTAACAAGGCCAGTGTGTTATTAGGAGGCCCAGGGCAGTTTAAGAAGTTTGTGGGAGCTCATGTTTCTATTACAGGTACATGTACTATGTATTATTGGTACATTGTATATACTGCTGCACCTATTAAGATATATAATTAAACTAAGCTTATAAGTCTACCAGCAAAATTTACCAATCAAGATGCAGCAAAGAGCATTTTAGAGGGTCAAGATTTTAATTTTTCACATTTTCCTGGCTACCCCTCTAGGATTGGCACACCTCAGACGTGACATGATGTTATGTCAAACAAATTCCATATGACAGACAAACATTTTGAACACTGTTCCTATTGATGCAAACCATGTGGTAAGGTCTTGTGCTAAGTTGGGCAAGCCGGGTCATTTTCTGAGCTGATCTATGATTGTGGTTTCAGGTGGAATACAGAATGCTGTGGAGAATGCTGTAGACATCAATGCCAGGGCCTTTGGTCTGTTCCTGCGCTCCCAGAGACAGTGGGCGTGTAAGCCCATGGAGGAGTCTGCAGCCAGGCTATTTAGGGAGGCCTGTCAGAAGCAAGGCTTTTCACCCAACCAGGTCAGGTCAAATTTCTCAGACCCAAACATTCAGCTGTGGAGGAGTGTTGCAGAAAACTAGATACTCAGCTGAATTTTGAGACTAGTGACTCTCTTGTAACTTTGGTATAATAGTCAATACAACACTGCACTGCTAACTTTAAACTGTTCTCCAAGACAAAAGAATCACTCACCAAAATTTTTGACTTCCAACCAACTTTGACCCGTTGCTGACATCACACGTGAACAAAAGAAATTGAAATCATAGCAATTGAAAGCTGAAGAAGCCTCCAAGTAATTTGTCTTTTAAGTTTGAGAACAGTATTTTACCATCTCAGATGAGCTTTTATGGCTGATATGAGAAATGATTTCGGCAACGAGGCTGAGCCATTTTTTAACACTGCACTTCTGTTGCCCTAGATCCTGCCCCATGGCAGCTATCTGCTGAACTGTGGCGCGCCCAACCCGGAGACCCTGAGGAAGAGTCGGGAGGCCCTGGTGGATGAGCTGAAGAGGTGTGAACAGCTCGGACTCACCATGTACAACTTCCATCCTGGTGAGAAGGGGATTCAGAAGAAAACAACAGTCTGCCCAGCATGGTTGCTGTAAACTCCATTATGTAAAGTAGCCTGGATGCCAGACTTTTTAGTTTTAGTAAGCTTTCTTGGATGTTTCCCTGCCAGATGGATAGACTATTGAGGTCTAGTCTTTTTGGCAGGGAGACAACTGAAAGTGAACTATTTTAAGCTAAAAAAGCTGGCATCCAGGCTATATTGTAAAGTGATACAGTATAGCACTCACTTATTAGGAAAATGATCCGAGTAGTCAAGATGTTTTTTGAATATCAGTTTAACTTATATATTTTTGATTGATTCTTACAATGTACCATTGTCTCTTTTCCTTCGTCATAGATCATTAACTCATAAATTGGCAAACAGGAGTGCCAAAACTGTCATGTAATGCAATGTTGAATAAAAGTGTTTGCCTATGTATATATAGTTAGACAGGCAAGTTTGTGATGTTACTGATACATTTCTGTGGTGACCCCCTAGGTTCTTCCTGTGGTGAGATCACAGTAGAGGAGTGTCTGACCAGGATAGCAGAAAGTATAAACCTGGCTCACCAACAGACCAGCAGTGTTACAACAGGTAGGACAGATGTATGTGTTAATTATAACTGGTTCATTGTTCACTGAAACTAGCTAGGTGTTACTAGTTCACTGCCCTGATGAAGATGACATACAGTCATTGAAACGTTAGCTCATTAAAGTGGTTGTGAATGATTCACCAACCTGTTGAAATTTTTCAAGGATATATATATACTGTTTTCATGACTGACACTCTTTGGGGTTATAGAATTGCAACATATAATCTCTTGTAGAATGTATACACCTTCCAAAGTCTTCCCGATGTTGTACTGTACCTGTCTTTATACTACTCTTGTCTCTTTGCCTGCTTCTATAGAACTTTGAGCACTAATACAGTTCCCAGCTCACTAATACAGTTCCCAGCTCACTTGCAGTAACTGTTTTCTGTATGATGTCACCCTTCCAGTGATAGAGAACATGAGCTGTCAGGGTAACACAGTGGGAGGGAAGTTTGCAGAGCTGCGTGGGATCATCGACAGGGTGGAGGACAAGTCCAGGGTGGGAGTGTGCCTGGATACCTGCCACGCCTTTGCTGCTGGTAAATTGACACTGTCACATTTGTCATTGTAGGTCATCATGCAACTCTGAACAGCTGCCGACAAGGAACTACATGTTCTAGACTTTTCCATAACAAGACAGCATAAAATTTACAGGACTATTACTATCCCGAAAATGCTCTCAGTTTTTGCAATCGTAGGTCAATCACAGAACATGTAACCAGGCCCTACGGAAGAAAGTTGTCAGCTCTTGTATTGCTTTACTTTGATAGAGGCTGCTTCTCCAAGTTTAGATACTACTGGTAAGGTAACTATCTCTATACATGACTAAGTTGCATTTATCTAAAAATGACCATGGTGTGCTTTCTATCCTGAAGGATACGACCTTTCTACCCAGGCTGGATATGACAAGATGATGCAGGAGTTTGAAGAAACTATTGGGTTTTCCTACCTCAGGGCCATGCACATCAATGACTCCAAAGGTAGAAATCCTATATATAGTATTACACATACTCGTCTGTACTTTTTTGTACTTTTTGTTTCCAAAAAACTGCAGTCTCCTCATATATCTTGGCATATGTATTGTCATGGTATTCACCACTTGATGACCTAAACATTTTGCCTGCTGCTGCAAAGGTGAAGTTGGATGCCATCTTGATCGGCATGAGAACATCGGGAAGGGGAAGATTGGCATTGAAGGCTTCAGACGAGTCATGAACGACCCACGACTGAACAACATTCCCATGATCCTGGAGACGCCTGTGGGGTAAGGTCCACTCTGATAATGATTTTGATTAACATCTGTCAGCAACACAAAGAATTTCTTAAAATGTGTGTGACTAAAATAGTAGATTTCTCAACATCCACCTTTCTGAGACATCTACCAATGGGAGTTCATGTATTGGCATGTACTGTGAAGATACGTAACATGTTTTAGTAATCTTTTCTTGCTCACATCTTTTCTTATTTTCACTTAGTATAGCATACTGTAAGACATCAAGATCAGGTAGTAAGATGATTTCTAACTCTCTTCTATTACTTTTCCCAGTTTGGATGACGATGATGAGATAAGGATACTGTACTCCTTATGTGAGGACCTGTAGACTGGCCCAGGAAACCTCACCAGCACACAGAAGGGCAACATGTGCAAGAAAAAAGTAGCACACAAACATGTTTCAAGGTTCAACTGCATTCCTTCTGGCAACTTGCGTTGTTTCCTATGAACGTTCCAGGTTTTAGAAGTTGTTCTTTGTTAGTCCATGCTTGTTTGCTGATCATGTTATGCAGGACATTATATCTAAATGAAAAAATATGAAAGATGGTCTATTAGATTATTGTTAAGTATTTTCTGATGGAATTTCTAAATGACATACAGATATCACTCTCCTGTTCATGAAACTTAATGATAGCCTGTTGTTTGAATAGTTTTTATTTAGTATTATGGTTTTTAAAACTTGTTATGAACTAATAAAACAACATGTACACCTTACATTGTTTCTTAGCCTTATTTCACTCCCTAAACAATTAATTATGCATAGCACTATCTTAAATTATGAAACATTCACAATGTAATTGTGTCAATTAGATTATAGAGCCAGAGATCATCACACGATACATATATTTCCATGTAGTTTTCTTTCTTTGCAATGTGGCTATATACATAACCATGCCAACATGATAAATACAGACATTTTCTGTATGTAAACCCTAGAATATCTGAGAAACAACACTGAATATACAACTTTGTGAATAATCCTGCGGATCACAGACGATGGTGAACTTTGCAGCAATGTTTCACTGGTCTATTAGATTAACTATGCCAACATTATAGATAAGTAATACAGACATATTTTCTGTACATAAACCCTAAAATTTCTTGGAAACACTGTAATATATACAATGATGTGAATAATCCTGCAGATCGCAGACTATCGTGAACTGTGAAGCAATGTTTCACTGGTAAGTAAAACCATCCAACAGTAACTTGATGAGAAGCATTATTCAGGTTCATCCTCCCCAAGCTGGTCCTCTAGGAGCCCAAATGACTTGAGCACCTTGTGTTGTCTGGAGCTTCTCAGGACAGCCAGGTCCTTGGCATACTGCTGTTCTCTCAGCAGCTCTTTCCTCTGCTCCTCCAGCCGCAGTTTGTGCTCGTGCAGCGCTCGCGTCTCCTTGATCAGGTTCAGCAGCTCATGTCTCAGCTGACGGTTCTCCAGTTTGATCATCTGTGTGTGCTCATCCAGACATCGAGCTGCCTCCTGCAGGAAAGACATGTTTAAACAACACAACAGACATCAGTCAAGTAGTTTTCCTTTTTTTAGTACTGTGGTAGGAACTAGTCAAGCCTGGGTACCATTTCTTCTGAAATGGGGCTCCTTGCACTCACTAACCCAGGTACAAAATGGATGGCTTCCATGCTGGAATCAGTGATTTGAGTACACGTTTTTAATGGATTACTTCACTATTACAGTACAGGATGACATATTTACCTTCGCCAAGAAGGTTATGTTTTCGTAGGCGTTCGTGTGTGTGTCTGTCTGTCTGTCTGTCTGTCTGTCTGTCTGTAAACACGATAACTTGAGAAGGCTTAAATGGATTGACTTCATATTTGGTAGGTGGGTAGGTCCTGATGAGACCTCGAAATGATTAGATTTTGGGGCCCCTGGCGGCTTCTTATGGTACTGCAGCTGAACTTCCGGTTTTGATATCTCGTGATCTGGACGTGCTAGGGTCACGAAATTTGGATGGTAGGTAGGTCTTGTGCTGGGGAATAAGTGACATAGGTTTGGGCCCCCTATCGGCTTGCTCAGGAACTGCAGGGCCATTTCTTTGAAAATATTCATAAGAGGATAACTCAAGAACCGGTGGACGGATCATCATGATTTTTGTTATGTAAGTAGCTTAAGTGATGCTTGACATAATTATGCGACAATTATGCAAATCTGGACGTAATTTGCATAATTAATGAGGAAATTCGGTAAATCAGCTGCATTACATTATAGGACTATTCAAGCTTGAGACATATGTAATTGACAACGAGAAAAACACAGGCAGATATTAATTTTTTTAAATTTTTAATTTTTTAAAAAGATTTTGTAAATCAACACTTAATTTGCATAATTAATGAGAAAATGTTATAATTCCATAATGGTAACTGCCTGGAATTTCATACTTAGGGTATTTGCAAGTTAAGTGAATGTGAACATCATTAAACATAATTTATTCAAATAAGGACCTTATTTGCATAATTTATGAGGTAATGATAGAATGGCTTTCTTTTTTAAGATAAGGCTGTCTTTTATGGATAATATGATCAACTCATATAATTCATGCAAATGAGGATCCTATTTGCATAATCAGGAGGAATAATCTTTACTTTGTCATAAAGATTAACATCATTTGGCGAAGGTATGAGATCGTGGGACTCTAGTTCCATATAATTCTTGTGCTGAAACTGCTCTCACAACCGGCTTGGCTAAACCCTATATTAATGGTCCCACGACAAACTACTGACACAATAACGATCCTTCTGGGTGCATAGCCCTTATAGATATTTTGAATGCTCACTTTTTATCCAAACAGTGCAAGACAAGCTAACTCCCAGTATTCTAACTCTAAATTTTAAGTCAGTAAGGTATACGGTACAAAGAATTGTTCCAGAAGCATGTCTAGTTACTGACCTTGTTAGCCAGTTTGCCCATGGAGGTAATACGTTGGTCAGACTCGTGTTGGTAGTCGCTCTTCTCCTTCAGGAACTGTGCCTTGAGCTGCTGCAGGGTGTCCGAGTGCACACCGCGCATCTTCAGCACCTCTCGCTCCAGCTCCTTGATACGTGATATCTGGTCTGCCTGCAGCTTCTGTAGGTCAATGAGAAAGAAATACCTTTTATTATTTATTCATTTATCTATTTGTTAGGCTGTCGATACACCCAAGGATACAGCCAAGGCAGCCAATATATTTACTGAAAAAAATTACCAAAAGTGTTGACACCAGCAAGATGAACATATACATGTACCAGCACATTAAGTGTAGCCTGAAATCAATCTGTGTCAGTTTGGCACTCCCAAACTTTGCTCCCTTGCCAACTATTGCTGGCCAGCAAACAGTTGGGGAGTGTTTAAAGCTAATAAGGCTGAATTTCAGGCCAAATGATCATCTTATTAAAAAGTCAACAGCCAATTCACATTCTGCTGTTTACACTTGTCACAAAAAAGTGGATATCATGGTACATATCCCAAGGACAACCCAAATAATCAGATTTGACATGGCCTTGTGTACAAGAAGTCTGATCAGTATGGTTGTATGTTGTTTAACAGTCTTACTTTGAACTCGTCCAACTCTTGTAACTCCTTCTTTGTTTTAGCCAGCTCGTTCTCCCTCTCCAACAGGAGCTGCCTCAGTCCTGCCTTCTTCTGGTCATACTCAGCCAACACCTCTGCCTTCTCCTGTTGCAGCTTTTCAATTTCCTAATGAAGAACAACAACAAGAATCAGCATTACAAGTTTAGTGTGACATTATCATACGCTTTTACACCTTGAAACTTCAGTGTGGATTCATTCCTGGGTGCCATACTATGGGAAGGCAAATTTTAGCATCTAGTATCTATCTATAAGTTAGGACTAGGCGGCAGATATGTGTCAGCTGACAGGGCCAGGTGGCACTGTCTAGCTTCTTTAAAATTGTTCATCTATTAGCTGTTTTTCTATTTTCAAGTGTGTCCCATCAGACTCCCATGTAAGGTCAGGGACCAGCTTATTGGCATTATGGAAAGTGTTAGGACTAAGAACGACATACCTTTTGGTTCTGGTCACTGAGGGAGACAATAGTGGACTGTCTCTTGTGAGTTTTCTTGGCCATGTAAGACATGTACTCGTGACTCTCCACCCGTGTCTGGTGGGCCTCCTGCTGCAGCCACTCATTCTCCTTCCGCAGCTCCTCAACTCTCTTCTTCTTCTCCGCTAACTCCTCATTCACACTCTCCAGTCTGCAACAAGCACAGAATACACACACATGTAAGTTCATATTAACAAAGGGACTCACATAAAAGGTGGTGAGTGGACCTGTGTTCTGACTGAAACACAGCTTTGGGTAGTTCCTTACTGACCTTAATGCCATTTGTGTAGTTGACGTTATACCATGCAATATGTAACGTTACACGTAGGAATGTTAGAAAACGGGTTCACCAATTTCACCAGGAGTATAAATCTCAGGTCTGTGAACTGTTTTCGGTAGCCTTAGATATGATGTCATGTAAACCAAAAGAGAAATTATTGCGTTACTTGTAAACGTTAACTTTAATGGCAAAGCATCAATCTATTTTGGACACCTAACGTTAACATTAACAGGTGGTTGCTAGAGTTTTTGTCTCCTTGGTGAGAGGGAATCAGTGAGATTCTAATCCGGGTTGTGTACTTGTATGTAACGTTATGTGCTCATTGTGAGCAAACAAGAAAAGAACACGTGCTTCTAAATGAAATAGTTTTCGGTGAACCACGGAAACAACATCAAATTCATAAAGGGACACAACACTCACTGTTTGGCCAACAGCTCTTCCCTGTCCTCTCCTTCTGGAGGCTCGGCGGAAGGTGCAGCGGTCCCCGCCGCCTCGTCGGCATCTCCCTTGTCCCCCTTCCCTTTCTTACCCTTCTTGCCTTTCTTGCCACCTTTACCCTTCTTCTTTGGAGGCATTTTTGCGAATGATCACTGGACAGTGTTCCCGATGCCCGGTTGCCTAGATAGTCTAAACAATCATTGACAACAAGCGACATATTTGTCAACAGCAGATTCGACTTGTTGCCATTGCTATTCTTCCGTAAAATGTTCATAATATACTTTTAATAGTTTAATCAAAAAAAGTATACATGATTAAACATATAAAAATATTACAGAAAACTTATTTACGTCTTGTTTATGGCAGCACCAGTCAGGGACCAGTGATGATCTATTTCTCGAAACTATGTCCAGAAATATCAAACCTGTTTTACTGCACACGCTCTAAAAACATAGCGCAATATTCGCAAAGGCCCTTATCATAACTATCCTAGTTGACAAAATGAGACTAGTATTAGTAAATAGTCACAAATATCCCTGACAAATTATTTGCTAACTTCGTTTGTAATTATCATGTCGTGTGCTTTTGTATGTATTTTATTAAAAGTGTCCCAACGTCATAGATTAGGCTGTACTCAAATAAGCTGCTAGTTTTTCTGTATTGTTAAAAATCCAACATGGAGGCGGAAGAAGAAGAGGCGGTCGATTTGACTTCTCCAGATTTTGACCCGGCGAAAGCTTTGTCGTCCCGGGCCGTAAGCCTTCCCGTGCCGAACGTGAGACCCCTCCAAAACCTAGCTCAGTATGAGTCGGCCATGAAGGGTTTGCGAGCCCCCAAGAAGGCACCCGCCAGTGCACAAACAGCTTCACAACATGGTGGTGCCGCTTCAGGGAGTAAGGACTCGTCGGCAGAGGCAGGGCCGTCTGCTAGGTCTCTGCCTCCACTGGTGGCCACGCACAGGAAACCTGCAAAAACACTACTCACAAGGATGAAGGGTGAATGTTTCTTTATGTTGTTGCTGAGCGTACTATGCCTGCACAGTCTACTGGTACTATAACATTTATGTGGACTGATCATGTTGGATCATGTAGGAGTTGTACCAAATTCTGTTATGTTATGATATTGAATTGAACTTCATGCACCTTGTGCACGTTTTACATTATACAGATTCAGGCTGTATACCTTCATACATACAGTCTGCACCTGGCCTGTGCTATTACGCAATCTCTCACTGTTGGGTTGACTGTGCCTTCTGCAAGGGATCCGGACCTATCCAGTTGAAGGGCTGTTAGAACTTTGAAGCATGATTTAGTTGGCTAAGTTTGAACTGTCCTGTTTGCAGAAGAAAAGCAGGGCCCGCTGGATGTTCTACGCAGCTGTATCAATGAGAAACGCCGGGTCATTGTGACGACTAGGACATTTAAAGGTCTGCGTGGGATCTGTACTGGCTACCTGGTAGCTTTTGACAAGTTCTGGAACTTGGTAAGTGGCTGCCATGCAGTAGAAATATTCTCTTAGCTTAGAACATTTGTTTTCCATTGCAGTTGGTCTTCAAGCAGCTTTTTATTGGGAGGGCAAGGTACTTAGTACCAGTCTGTTTATTTACCTCATACATGTATTAATTGTATATATATACAGTATGTCTCAGTAAGAATAAACAGCAGTAGTTTGTTAAGTTAGACCATGTGAAGGTAGATCATACATTTGCTTCACAAATGTTACTTTTAAGGTTTTTTTGCTTGCATTTTTTTTTTCATGAACAACCTAAAAGTTGTTAATGTTTACACTTTTTGATTGCTAGCAATTTTACATATTTATGTATGTCTATTCTTTAAAATGTCTCGATTCACTCCCACCTAGGCAATGGCAGATGTGGAAGAGGTGTATCACAAACCACCACTGGGCAAGAAATTCTTCCAAGAGGAAACGCTAACTGTCTCAAAGGTATGTAAAACCCGTTTTTTTTGGGGGGGGGGCAGTAACACAATTTGGACTGTCCTTCCTCAACTTCCTCTTTTGGTCTGTAATTTTGATCATTTTACAATCACTTGGCTGTTATACCAATTCTGTTTAGTTTTCCAAAAAGAATTCCATGTTTAATGTAGACATAATGAAATCAATAAAGGATAGTTTGTTTTTTCATGGATCCTGTGATATTGCAGCTTTTGCAGTCAGAGACGACATCAGAAATTGTCTCCAAGAAGGACAGTTCGTTGCAGTCCACAGGAAGGAAGGACGAAGAAAGGCAAAGAAGCTCATCAGCAGGTAGAGCTGAGCAAGACACTAGACCCTGCAGTACTCAGTATAAGGGACAGGGGGCAGGTATGGAACTAAGGAGCAATGCCAAGAAAAAGCCAGGAGACAGTGATGGTGAAAAAGCGAGTCCCTCTACTAGAACAGAGTCACAGCAGAAAACTGATAGTAAGCAGTCAAGAGAAAAGAAGAGGCATACAGAGGGACAAAGGACAGACAGACCAACCAGTTCCAAAGATTCGAGTCTGAAAAAGCACAGGAGGGAAAGACACAGAGGTGCTGAAGCTCTGTCTGCCCTGGAAAGCAAGTTAACAAGTCTACAGAGAGAATTAGCAGCATTGGATGCAGATAGGAGGGATACAGGAGTAGACACAGAATGGTCATCTAGGAGGAGGAGGAACAAGAAACAAGAGTCCCAGTTTTTCAAGAGACACGTGAACCAGCTATTTGTGAGAGGGGAAAATGTTGTGATAGTGTCAATAAAAGATGCATGACAAAGTATGGTTGTGTTTGCAGTTTACGATAATGGTTGTTATCTTTGCAGAGAACGTTTTCAGTAGCTTATGTGTGGCTGTGGTGTGGGTGACAGTGCCTACCAGGCTAACTACTAGTACACATGTACATGTTTGTACATGAAATGCGACTGTTGCCTCATATCTCATAATCTGTGTGTACCCATCTGGTGCAGAGTATGTGTTTTCATAATAAATAGAACAGGTCTTTGATGCTTCTCGCAGAACCAACTATCCAAGGCAAGAGGTATGAACATCTGGTTCTCACCCTCAAGGTTATATAATAATCATGTGCAAGAATAACTTAGGTATAACAGCTGTTGAGAAAATGTGATTATCCCAGGTTTTCTGCTTCCAGATCAGAAGCAAGGAGATGGCTGATTTGCAACGTTTGATTTTTTTTTAGAAAATGAGAGTTGAAGCTGGGTGTCGTAATTAGCTATCTTTCACTTTGGTTGAGCTGTCCAATTATGTACTTTGAGGTTAGCCCGATAACGAAGTACGTATACATGTACGTAGAATTTATATGGCTGATTACACCTTATGAGATGTTATGTAAGAAGGGCCAGCACGCGTTGTTGCTTTTCATCCAGACAAGAGCGGTATCACAAAGGTAGCTGTCCCGATTCTGCCAAGTAGGATAATCCTATACTGTAATGGTAGGCAATATGTTGATCATTTCTAACAACTGGACCCGCTAATGATTACACGGAATTACTGGCTAACGAGTGATGTAAGTCGCGGTGTTGTGCACTCGGGCGCGTGCCAGGTCAGCCGTGAAGACAGAAGTTAGCAATCAAAAACGGTTTGAAGAACACTAACTAGACATATTAACAGCACATATACTAGTATACTCCTAGAGTTGTCCTGCTGCCTGACTATTTAAAATTGCACATCTTGGTGTATCTTTTTTCCTTTTATAGTAATACGACAATGCATTATTTCTCCGCTTTTTGTACGTACATCTAAGGCCATGTTCACGCGAAAGTCAAATACATGTATGTAGTTTTCATACAGTATTGTTTGAAAAGATATCGTATTCGACGCACGTTGCAGTGTTGACAACACATACATCTGATACGGCGATGAATTCTTTGTCAAGTACAACTGTCTATGCCTGATGATACATGACTGCTGGGGTTCCTGGCACGCCTGTCAACGGTTCAAAGATTGTCTAGTTGCTGATCATTAATGGACAGAATCAATAAAACCAGCCAGGCTGGACGCCTGGTGTATCCCACATGTGCATTACATTCTTGGTACGTCCTTCAACTTCCCACTAAAAATCTAAACTTTCCCTTCAGTGTATGAAAAGCTGGTTCCTTCTGTCCTTCGTGCCCCTCGATCATCAATATGACTGAAACGCGACGTTAGGCCGGTAAGAATGGGACACAATGGCGCCATCCGATGTTACTGTTAGTCTGTGGAGATTAGATCTCAATACAGAGTCGTTACGAGATCTCGCGCTCATGTGTGTGTGCGTGAGTGTTTCTGTGTGTGGTGTGTATGTGTGTGTGTGCGTTATTGTGTGAGTGTGTGTGTGATGAGCGCGCGTATGTGTGTGCATGTGTGAGAGAGAGTTTGAGAAGTCACTGAGAATGTAGAAAAAACTTCCAAGTTATGTTAGTAAACTACAAAATATATCACAGAATTGTGGACACCTCAAAACGTTGTATGTAGCTCTCTCTCTTGCCTTTGTCGTCTTGCCAGCTAGCGAGGTATATATTTTATCTAATATTTGACAGTAAACTGTCCATACTGTATTGTAGCCATGATCAAGCAGCTAGCTCGTTCAGATGTGACGTATTGTGATGACGCATATTTGTAGATATTCAGAAGGCGAGTCAGAAGACTGCAGACACATTCATCAACAGGTATACATATAAATTTCTAAAGCTTAACGTTTATCCGCAGTCATGTAATGCCTATATTTGACGTGTAGTGTTAACGTGATGGGCGTTATCAGCACCAGCAGAACTAGCAGCCGTAGGGAGATGGATTGCACACACGGCGTTACAGACTTGTTCTACCGAGAATGTCGTGGTGGCACACGGGAAGTAGAGGTGAACCTTCTAGTGTTTACGGAATGGTCTAATTTAAGATTTACGGATATTCCTTGTTTAGAACAGCATGTGTCGCGCATACCGAACTGTAAAAGAGAGCAAGAGGCATGATTAAGTTACCATGAACCTGTGAGCTTGTCCGGAACCGCTCAGTTGAGTGATTCAACATCCATGTTCCTAATTAGAAGATGCAAGCAGCAAAAATGTTCAATACAGCAGCATAGATTGCTGTCGCGTGTTACACGGATTGTTGTCTCCTCGAATTGTAGTCAGACATCATTTCCAAAATTCAATCATACAGCGTGTCCACGGCACCCATGAAAATTATGTTCTAGATCTAGTTTTATCCCACAGCCATCATTTGCACAGCGCAAAATGAATTTTGAATCTTTTGATTTTTACTTGACTCTCTAATGGGACAATTTAATTGGAGGCGAGACGTCGACGTAATTGCGACTCAAGTGGTTGAGATACATGTAATGCTTCTTCTGATATCGCTGTCACCTTGTCCCATCATCATATCTTAACAGCACCTATATATAATCACTGCCATTTAAATTATCAGTGAGGGCCCAATGACATTTGTCGTGCGGTAGGTTTATGTCCTGCGGTAGGTTTATCTTGGGACAGACGCAGTTTATAGTGCACTGAAATGTCGTAGAAAAAATTGTTTTTCCCTAGACCTATTGCGAGTGGAACTCACTGCCACAAAGTACAGAACGTCAGAATCGTAGGGGCATTTAAGCAGCGTTCACAGTTAGATATGAAAATGTTTAGTGTTATTGTATATTGCCTGGCTACCAGGACGTCTTGCCCTTTATGATAGCTTCCGGCTTCATTTGTAGTTGAGTAGGCCTGGCTGTATGTGATACAGCCTAATAAACCAAATCAACTAGTCGCTGAGAAACATGGTAACTCCAGGTTTTGCACAGTTACCGCCCGTGTCGTCCTGTTATATCATAGCCATCCATATAAATGCATCCTTCCGCACATGAAAGTACACTGTATTTGATATCGCCCGATAATAATGACTACTTACTGGTAGATGCACCCCTATAGCTACGAGATGATTGATGTGGAATATCTTCTCAAAATATCAAATTTTAGCCCGCGGCAACACCGAGGGAGCCCACCGGATATCCGGACCTTCACATGGCGTAAATTTGCCCTTTTAGTGACCGTACCGCTTCTCAAAAGTCACCTCTCCATACGACCCAGATGTATGATAACATACCAGCATAATCAAACTCAAAGTCTTCTTTTCTGAAAGGCTGCCTTACTTCTTACGACTGACGCAAAACCATGAACCAACATTAGATATGAGATCTTTAGCTCGGACGACTTCCTTCTGTTGACATAGAACACTAGATCTTACAGTTAAGTCTTTGTGCCCGATAGAATTTTGTGATCTTGTATTTAGATTCAAATATTGTTTGAATCACATTGAATATGCACAAATAACTAAGCAAATAGATATATATTTCTAGGCCAACATTACAGGAAATTTTCGAAACCAATACGTATTTCAGATGTGCTACACAAAGACCACATCGAAGTGTGATATTTAGCATGGCGGGTACCCCATCCCGCTGGGCCCACTGAGCTATGAAGTCCGGCGGCTAAATTTTGTTCTGAAAATGTTTTGTTGATTCTTCAAAGTTTTTTTCTCTTCCACAACCAAACAAAGTTGGCTGATGGGTGTTTGTGTTTGTGCGTGTGTGTGCTTGGACAACCTGTTGGTTTCTTCCAGGGGGGGGGGGCAGAGTCTGAAAATGTCATGTTGCATTGAGGGTGATTTTGTACGAAGGACGAAAACGACAAAATTTGTGCTCAACGAAGGAATTGAATTCAACAGAGAAGGGACTAATTTCAACAGAGAATGAGCTAAATTCAACAGCGAACGCGCTGTGCTCAGCGAACGCACTGTGCTCAGCGAAGGCGCTGTGTTCAGCGAAGGGGCTGTGTTCAGCGAACGCACTGTGCTCAGCGAAGGGGCTGTGCTCAGCGAAGCGGCTGTGCTCAGCGAAAGCACTGTGCTCAGCGAAGGGGCTGTGTTCAGCGAAGGTAGCCTCTACCAGGCTCCGCGGATCGCTGAAAAAATAGTAGAAATTGGCCGAAATAAAGGGATAGTATACCAGAGAAGATCCAGCCGGCCATAGAAGCTCCAATTTGCGACCCACGGAGCCTGTGCGGAGTCGCAAGCTTCTTTGAGGTTCACTAATCGCTATCTAATAGGTGCAAAGTGGTATCTAATAGGTGGGAAGTGGTTAAGTACCTCCGTGGGTCGCAAATTGGAGCTTCTATGGCCGGCTGGATCTTCTCTGGTATACTATCCCTTTATTTCGGCCAATTTCTACTATTTTTCCAGCGATCCGCGGAGCCTGGTAGAGGCTACAGCGAAGGCGCTGTGCTCAGCGAAGGCGCTGTGTTGGGCTGTTCTCAGCGAAGGACCTGTGCTCAGTGGAGGCGCTGTGCTTAGCGAAGGGACTGTGCTTTGAGTGTTGATGCCCTAACATCCCTAATTATAAAAGATATCGCACCATTTTTGGCGACGCCTCAGGGGGAGCCTAATGGTACAGTATTGTGTGCAGTTTGCAAGAATTCTAGGAATTGCACAGGCATTTTTTTCCACAGGAATGGAATGTCTACAGGCATGTCTGGGATTTTGCTGACACACATCTATGCCCACATTCCTACGTAGTGAAATTCCAGGAAACCCTTGGGACATTGTGGAAATTGTACAGATTCACAACTGAGCAGACACATGCTGATTTACATCCCTGTCCACTCCCATGCAACATTATCTAGCTCATATAACTATAGCTCCCATGATGTTAATGAAGTAAGCAGTAAGTGAGTTTTCTGAATTAGTGTAGAACATCTTCCCCTACGTATCATCGACAGTCTTCAACTCTGCTGCATTTGAACAGGTACTATATCTTTCTCTCTATAATAATTGAGAAGTTTATTGCAAATTCATGCCCGGAGGTTAATTGCCAGTTACAAACATAAAAGACCATTGAAGAACAGTATATAAAATAACTAAAATCCACATAATGAAAGGTAGTTGTCTAAAATTATAGCTACGTCTAAGTCTAAAACTATGTCTGAAGGGTTTGACTTCTCTTTTATAACTGTAGAAGACACGTATAACGTTATATCTGTAAGTCTCCTTTTCAGCATTTCCCCAACATGTTCAGGGTCACAATGTGAGTTATCAGAATGCCACAAAGAGGAGTATCCATTATGATCTAATACCGGTATGTCTTTAACACGTTGCAATAAAGTTTGTCTACGGGTATTTGTAGGCTTTGCTGTAAGAGAGAGCATCCGTTTGAAGGGAGTGGGAGGTTGTGTCCATTTGGACCAAGCATAACCAGAATTTAACTACTAGTATATCTATATACAAATATCTGTATCTAAAGGAAGTCTACCTAATTCTGCTCTACAGGCGACATTGCTTACTATTTCTAAATACACCAAGAACATTTTTACAGAATTGGTTGTGTACATTTTCGATAGGTGAGGTCTCATATGTAGTTTAATATAATATTTCTTGTGGACATCAGATATTGACGTTCAACTTGATAGGTTGTTAACGTTAGGTAAGCATAACCAAATCCTTCGACTAGATCAATTTTGTTATAGGACAATTATTCCCCGGGTAATCATTCTCAATGGCAGATTATTTCCTGTACATTTAATAGTCCTTTATAACAGACTTACGTTTCACCTAAGATTAAAATCACACAAATCTATCACAGTTCCTGGATGCTGTATTACCTTCCAAGGATTGCCAGGCCGTAAGAAGCACGCGGAAGGTCCCCATTTGGACAACCACACAGAACTGAAAACTAGCCCTTGTAGTGGTGAAACAGACCGCCGTGTTTCCCTGATGGGGTCGGAAAACACCTCTAAACTGACCCGCTGAGACTGGTTACCAGGCTTGTAAACTCTGAACTCAGGCCGCGAATCTGTACCTCCCTGTGATGACTGCCTCAAACCAAGCCAAAGTGATCTCTCTTTCCAGCCCCACAATCAGTCTGCTTTCCTCACATACCTACAATCATACGGCCACATTCCTTTCCCACATGCCTTTCAAGTGTATGTCCTACATTCTGGACCACTTTCCTACGAAGTGAAATTCCAGGAAACCCTTGCGACATTGTGGAAATTGAACAGATTCACAACTGAGCAGACACATGCTGATTCACATTCC